AATAGACTACATGGCCAAATTAACCTGCTCCTTTGTTCCATATGAGCTTGGCAGATCTTTGGCTTCAGCTCCACTCCCTCCCCTCCCCAATATCCCTTGATTCCCTGAGACTCCGAAAATCTGTCAATATCAGCCTTAAATATATTCAGTATGGTGCATTCACAACCCTCTCAGGCAGAGAACTTCAAAGACCAACAGCCCCTTTGAGTGATGCATTTCTCCTCCTCACAGCCCTGAATGATGGACTTCTTATTCTGAGATGTTTTAGATTTCGAAGGCAGGGAAACATGTCCATTTATCTTACTCTTGTTCCTCACTTTGTTATGACCTTTATAGTATATTTATTTGATTTGTTCCATTAGATACTTCACATCAATCTGATTCCTTTCAGCTTGCTTTGAGGCTTCAACAGTCCTAATTTTTGAAGTGAATCAAACAATGCGCCAAGTTTTTTAGACCACTAGGGAACACAGTGCAGTCATGTATCAACTTGTAGAGAAGAAATTCTATCACACAAAGCTATCAGTAAAACTCCATAACCAAACTGAATAGTACAGCAAGATTGTTTGGAAAAACAGACATACCTATTTTTATCAAGTGCTTAAATAATCTCCCTTTCCCTCCTCCTATTAAACTTGTAGAATACATTGAGGGACATTAATTATCAGGCCATTAGGACTTGAGAAAACTCAAAGCAAAAAAAAACTATACTAATTTATACATTCAATGTTCCTGTGGCCCTGCCACTAAGAACATCTGGTTACTTATTACCTGTAATAACAGCAGGAATCTGATGAGAAGACAGGTATAACATTAGGGTCTGTCTGAACACATGTACTCAGAAAGGACAAAGTTCATGGTGAGTGAAATCTTTAAACTGATCTGATAACTTTCATATCATGAATTTAGTTTAAATTCCACTTATGATTATGTGAAGATTCAAAAATGTTCACAGGTTAATCCATTTCTAACTACAACAAGTTAAATTTATGTGATGTAGTGCCTTTAACATAGAAAAAAGACATCTGTGTCATCATCAAGTGTTACATTTCTGCTGTCCAGAAAGTTTTGTTCTCAAGATTGTCAGTTGTACTTGTAACAAAATACTTAATCTACAAATACTGTGCCTATCTTCCACAGTTTGAACAATCTGGACTCAATTAAAAGTGCACAAGAATTGACAGGAGGGAATTAGAAAGCAATGATACGTTAAGAACAAACCCAAAAATGCTGGAAATGCTTAGCAGATCAGTCAGTGTCTGTGAAAAGATGTGGAACCTTCATCAGAACTTTAAAAGAATACAGATGAACAGCATTTAAAAATGAAAAGAACAACAGGAAACAAGGAAACATATACACAATACACGTGCACGCATTCTCTCACACTTTAAATCTGGAGTTTAAATGCTGAATGAAATACAGGTTATGCACAAGGTCTGTTACTGAGACAAGTAATGCAGAGGTCATGTCTGTGCAGTGGCCCACAAATATTGAAACTCGACACTTTCAAAAATGGAACAGAAAATGCAAAAATTATTTTAGGTTTTGAGACAAGGGATAGTCGTGTTTATTGGAAAAATGTATTTTTCATAATAATTTAATTATACGTTTGTAATAATTATTATAAGTTTTGTTCTATGATTATATGGTATGCTATATCAAAGTTGTACTGCATAGCAAGGATCTGGATGGTGACTTTTTGTCAATGGAAATGTGTTCCCATAAATGTCTTTTGATAAATCATCCTCCTTTAATTAAAATTTGTTCTAAATTGCATACTTGATGCAATTCGGATGCAGTGGATGTATTGAGATAGATATAGATTGTGATTTTAATTGAAGTTGTAGTTCCAGTGAGTTATTGGTACTTCTGACTGTGGGTTTATGGAGTTGTACTTGTGAATATATAAGTGACGGTGAACTGAATAGATACATGCAATCGTTTAACTCTTATTTTGAATTTAATTTAGTCAACATGGGCAATTGGGAAAAGGTGGCATGATTGGAGAAATAAGATTCTCACATTGAGACAAAAAACTCTGAATTTCTACCTAAGGTTTAGGCAGTCAGATCAGAATCTTGCTAGTGAGCGGTGAGTGGTCTATTGCATGTATTAATATCTCATTATTATCTAAACTGACCTGATTTACATGCAAGTCAGTATTTCCCCAGACTACGGAGACACAGTGGCAATTTCTGACATGAAAGCCTTGAATGGGTGCCTGGTAGCTGTAGCTTGCCAGCATCTTTTCCAGGCATCTACCTTGGCCAGCATTCCCTTATACCTCAGGGCATGCTCCGTTAATAGCGACAGCCTGATTCTCATTACCCCTCCCTGTATACAGAAGTTGGGATCAGACAAGCGAAGGCCTCACTCTATCATCCTGACACATCTCAGATTCACTTATAATGAGGCTCACCACTTCAATACAGCACTGGAGCACACTAACACTTCCAGGCCATCTTACAAACAGAGACAGGAACTGGTCTCATATTAGGAATGAAGTCCACCTCAGGGCTCTTAGCTCGCTCTTATAACAAGAGAGACTACTTTGTACCTATTTGATGTTCGCAGTAGCCTTTCCTTGCCTTTTAGCACGGGCACAAAGCCAAGCAGCCTGCCATGTTCGGCAACAATGAACAGTCAAGCGGATGGCTATGTAAAGCACCATGCTACACAAGCAGCCTATGTGGCACACACACCAAATTAGCTTCAATCAAATGACCATGTCTCAAAGTCTAACGAGTATAGTCCACAGTCAAGGGGGACTGTCGTCAGTTAATTGGTGTTGCCACAGTCAATCAAAGGCACTGTCTGATCTCAGCGATCACTTTACACACGTTGCATTTGGGCAACGTTCAAATCATTTGTGATCAATGGTATCACTTTGTAGAAGTGTGCGCCAGGTGATCTGAAGCTGCCCTCATGCCTATATCCATGATAGTTCTCAGGATCTGCTTGATTTCAAAGGCCAAATGCATTACAGGAATAGTGACAAGGGGTACCCTGTGCAAACATGGCTATTGACTTTGTTATGCAATCCTGTGACAGACTCTGAGCATAACTACTATGCAGCCACTCTACAACCAACACCATCAGGGAGCAGACGATAGGCCTCCTGAAGATGAGGTTCCAATCTTTGGCTCAGTTTGGGGGAGGAGGCTTGCAGTACTCACCAGACACAAGCAGATAAAGATGAGATGTGAAGGACACTGAAGAGTTGGGGCAGTGACAGGAGTGTTCCAGTGAGGAGACTGAGCAAGAGGAACATCACCTTCACTGTGATAGTCCAGTATAGCTCTGGGCTCAGAAACCAGACACGATTTAATTGACACCACTTTCAGTAGATCTCAGTTGGGTGAAGACGTCATTCAGTGACTGTAAATTTATTGTTGTTCGAAAGACAAGCAGCCCCGTTTGTTCCCAGAAACAAATGCAGCTTTTTGTTTCTTCTTTCTCCTTTCCTGTTGTTTCATAGGTTAACTTTAACAACAATTTCAGGGTGTTACAATATGTAATGCTTCTACATTGAACAGTAATAAAATGTTATGCTATGATGGGCATGAGGGAAAGTGTAGAGGAGCTGAGGATGGGTAGCTTCATTCTTGTAGCTGCAGCAACAGTAATGCTCAGTCAGGCAGGTGATAACATAAAGTGCCAATATATTTACAAATGGGATATTCTGATAACAACAGTGTCATCCATGTCATCTATGTGCCTGCAGAGGCTTTCTTTTCTCATCCCCACCCCCAACTCTGTCTACTATAAAAGGCAATTCCTGTCTAGCAGCAGAGATAGTAGGAACTGCAGATGCTGGAGAATCTGAGATAACAAGGTGGAGAGCTGGATGAACACAGCAGGCCAAGCAGCATCAGAGGAG